TCTCAGGAAATTCAAGACTGTTTTATTCTAAATCAGCACCTATTTCTCTTCCCCTGTAAGTATACATCGTGAAGCCAATTTTCTACTATGTAACTGAATCACAAAAGGAGAGAATGCCAAAGTTGGAAACAGCCTTAGATATGGTTTAGTCCAGTGATTCCCAACGTCCCATGCATACTAGAATCAGATGAACAACTTTTTAAAAAATACTTATGCTTGGGTTCCACTCCTTAGAGATCTACTTACTCAGTCTAGGGCCAGAGCATTTTTAAAAACTTCCCCAGGTGGTTCTAATGTTTAGCCAGGGCTGAGAACTACTGATTTAATCCAATCCCCTTATTTTCCTAGGGAGAAAACCAAAATCCAGAGCATAAGCAACTTGCCCGGAGACACTGAGCATGTTAGTGCGTGGTGCACCAAGAGAAACGATGGCAATATCAAGAACATGATGGTGATATTTATAATTTTTTCTTGTTGGAGTTAATCCCGGAAGCATTTCTCTTTAGTTGAGAGAGGTGTTATATGATTTACCTTTTACTGTGACAGCAGGACTTACTCTTCTGGTAAGACTGAAAGGGTTCGCATTCCCTGACCACAAAAGGACAGAGATGGCATTATACATTCACCACACATAGCCAGCCAAATTAGCAAAGCTCCCTAAGAGGCCGCTTGAAATGCCGAAAATGCTTCTTCTCTACAGTGATCACCAGAGCTGAGGGATCTTGGCAGGGTGGTGAGAAGCGAAGGGGCGGGAAAAGAGAGGAAAGCATTCCCTCCCAGAGGGAGGGTGCTGAGAATCAACGGAGAAGCGACCAGAGCTGCCAGGACGGAAAGGCGAGGGAAGGAAAAGAATTCCAATGAGTCCAGGGAGCCTCTGCTCCCCCAGTAATGGAACAATGATGCACAGCCCGGCAGTACCGACCCTCCCGGGAGCCCTGAGATCCAAAGGAGACGATCAAAACGGGCTCCGCGATACGCGTACTAAAGAAAACTTCCAACACTCACAAAAAAGGGAGCCCCCGCAAAACACCAGAGCTCATTTGCCCCCAACCCTCTCCTAGTCCCTCGGTTCAAAGCCAAGATCTTCTACACCCTCCACCCCCGGGCTCAAAAGGGGGCGGTCCCGGCCTCACGTGACATTGCGGTCACGTGACCCGGGCCCCGCGGGAGCCGCGCTGCGGATTCCAGCTTCTGCGGTCGGAGGGGGCCTGGCGCGCCCAGCCCCCAGCCCCCAGCCCGCCGCGACCATGCTGTCCCGCCTGCTGAAAGAACACCAGGCCAAGCAGAACGAACGCAAGGAGCTGCAGGGTGAGCCGATCGTCCCCGTCCGCCGTTTTCTCTCCCGCCGCGGCCTAGCCTCAGCCCGGAGCCTGGACCTCGAGTAACGGCCCAGATGCAGGGAAGGACGCGGGCTGGTGGGCGCGGGCTGCGGGGAGGGGGCGGGGGCGCTTTTTTGGAAATCCCGTTTCCTTGCCAACGGGCTCTGGTCCCTTTGGCAACACTGCGAGCCGCCCCCTCCCCCTAATGCCCCCCACGCTCCGTCTCCCCGCATCCTCGCCCCGCCCCTGCGCGTGGAACAGCGCTGTGCCGATTGGCCCAGGGAGCCTCTCGGCCCGAAAGTGGGAAGGGACGCTCCTGAGGGACCCGGGTGTTGGGGCCCGACTGAGATGAGAGTCTTGGAGGCCTGAAACGACGGAAATGGGGGTGGGGCCCTTCGAGGATCTGGCCTGGGAATCCGGGAGTTACCGTTCCTCAAGCCAAGATAGTGGGAAAATAGTGCCGGGGTCTGGAGTCCTGGGCGGCTGCCACTGACTCGTTGGCGCCCCTGGGCGAGTCGCTTCCGTTCCCAGAGTACCAGTTAACCCACCTCTAAAATGAAAAGAATTCGGAAAAAAAAATTTTTTTTATAAAAATTTTGAAAAACAATAAAATGAAAAGGCTTGCTTTATGTTTTGCAAGGTCCTTTTCAACTCCGGCACTGTAAGATTAGTTGAGATGTTCCCGCACCTAGCGGAGTAGTAATTAATGGGTGGCGACCCTTTAGCACCCTTCAGAAAACCGAGTCTCCGCTCCAATCCCTATCCTCCCATCCCCAGAGAAGAGGAGGCGAGAGGCTATCACTGCAGCGACCTGCCTGACAGAAGCTTTGGTGGATCACCTCAATGTGGGGTATGAACTCCCCATCAGCACCCACCCCCCGCCCCTCCACACACACACACAAGTTAGGCATTGACAAGGTCCAGACCTCAGATTGCTGTTGAGGGGGTGAGGTGTTCCATTCATTCCCTCCCTTCATTCCCTCCCCTCCCCTCCGCCAGCTTAACTTCATGGGGAGAGGCTTGAGTCAGCTCTGACCCCTAACGTTGCACAAGGAGGAGCAGCTGCAGTGGTTGGAGAAGCGGCCAGAGTCCCCCCTCCCCACAGTAACCTCCCTGGTGCTCACAGCTTGATGCCATCTGCCCACTTCCCTTCACCCCTCCAAGTGCAGCTGTTGCCTCAGCAGGAGGGCAAGCACCTCCCTTCCCCGAAACTTGCCACCCTCTCCTTCTCTACCTCCCACCCTCTGGCAGGCCTGGGGAGCAGCTGACAGGAGAGAGATGGCACAGCTGGTGAGGGTGAGGGCAGAACCTATGCTACGAGCTATAGCAGAGCCAGGCCATCTCGTCCCTTCCTTCCGGGTCCAGAGACCACCTATAGGAGAATGCCAGCAACAACCAAAGACTTGGGAAGGAGCAAAGAATATTGTCTCTTGACCCTGAGTGACCCAGAAGAGTGCTGAGATGATGATTAGAAGAAAGGGGGCAGTATGATGCCTTCCACCCCAGGACAAGTAGAATAACTTGGTTGTGAATCCAGAGACTGAGTCACCCAAATGAGCCATACAGGGACTGTCATCTTCATTACTCATCTCTGGGGAAGATTAGGGGACAAGGAGGCCGGGGTTGGGGCCTCTGATCTCCCTCCCCTCCAGACTTCTCCCTTCACTCAATGTGAAAGTGGGAGGTCAACAGGAAGAACTAGGATTTTAGGAACTGCCAGGCGACTCTCTTAAAGCATTGGGAGCCCCCCTGCTATTACTGTTTCAGCTCCTACACTACCCCCCCCCCACTATGGCCAAGCTGTCTCCCAAAGAGAAAGGACAAGGTCTGCCCCCTTTTCTCCCTCCCACATTGGCGCCTCTTGGGCTCTGCTGTGAGACTGGCCCAGACTTCTCCCTCTGCTCTTCCTTTGCTAGCGGCCACCCCTCTTCCAGCTTAGAGGACAGCTAAGCCAAAGCCAGATTAGAAAGGGTTTTGTGTTGCTGCCCACGGGTCCTCTTGTTCCCTGGAAAGGAAAACAAAAGCTTAGTCTATCTCAGCCCCTGTCAGGTGTCCTTCCCATTCTCTCCACCCACCTCAACCCCTTGCCCCCTCCAGCCCCCACAGATTCCAGTGGGGGGTGGGCACCGGATATGGAGTCTCCCAGATGACCTAGAGCTTTAGGATGGGGAGTGAAAGACTCACCAGCCAATGGGAGAGAACAGTTGTTGTGGGATGGGGAGATTGGGGGAAGGGGGGCAGAGCAGGGGTTTGGTGATAGCAACTTCTTGGCATTAATGGTAACTGCAGCCAATCTTGATTGAGGAGGAAAAAACTGCCCAGAGCAGAAGGAAGAAAGGGTGAGAGAGAGAGAGAGATTGTGTGTGTGTGTGTGTGTGTGTGTTCCTCCATCTGTGTGGGCGAAAGGAGAAGGGTTGGGAGAGAGACTGAGAGCCAAGAAGAAGCCCTTGGGATATCTTCTCTTGACCCTGAGTTCCTGGGGAGGGGGGCTGCTCTCCCATCCCACCCCAGATTCAGGGAGGGGCTCAATTTCCCTTCCCAACTTCTTGCACAGATCCCTGGGCTTCCAAGCACGGCCAGATGTGTCCCTGCTGCTGGATTTTCCCAGCTTCTCTGAGCCCCCGCTACCCTCCCAGCTTCTTCCCCAGGGATATTCCCTCCAGGTTAATCCTCCCTTCTCTCACCCAGCTTTAGGAATTCCTTTGCGGGGTAGGAGATGGTAAGTTTTCAGTCAGCTCCCAGCTAGGCTCTCCTGGGAATGCTGGGAGTGGGAGGAAGAAGCTGGTTCATTTGCATGAATGGTAGTCATTTGCATCACATCCAAGAATGGCCAAAATCATGAGGTTTTCCCCAGTCTGGCTGCTGGCTGCCCTCCCACCCTTGCAGTGGAATATTAGTCCTGGAGACCAGTCCCCACCAGCTGGGTGAGGTGATCTCATCCCTCTTCCAACCTCTAGTGTGGCCCAGGCCTACATGAACCAGAGAAAGCTGGACCATGAGGTGAAGACCCTACAGGTCCAGGCTGCCCAGTTTGCCAAGCAAACAGGCCAGTGGATCGGGATGGTGGAGAACTTCAATCAGGCACTCAAGGTGGGCCACACTCCCTACATCACTGGGACCCTATTGACTGCCTCCAGTCAGGTCAGCTCAGGCCTCAGGTTAAAAAGGAAATGGGGATGGTCCCAGAGATGGTATCTATGGCCCCAGTCTCAGAGAAGCTAGAGAGAGAAAAGTAGTTGGTGGGTTCAAGCAAAGCCCTTTCTAGGGGATGGATGGAGGTGTCCCTGCCTGCCACACTCTACGCACCCTGATTCCCAGCCTCCCACCTCCTCCCCTTCCCAGGAAATCGGGGATGTGGAGAACTGGGCTCGGAGCATCGAGCTGGACATGCGCACCATTGCCACCGCACTGGAATATGTGTACAAAGGGCAGCTGCAGTCTGCCCCCTCCTAGCCCCTCTTCCCTTCCCTCCACGCCACCCTTCCTCCTTCCCCCATGGGGGAAGCTGACAGGCCAAGAATAAAACACAAGCCTCCATTTCTCGTCGTATGTTTCAAAGAGCTACTAGCCCAGCGTGGTGGGTAGGAGTGGAAGATTCAAAGACTGTTTCCCTAAGTGACAGTTACCTTTTGGGTAAAGGGTGGAACCAGCGTCCTCTTACTGTCCCACCCCCCTTTCCTCTTTGGGCCTGGTGCTGGTGCATGTTGCATAAGCAGAGGGCGGAAGTTTCCCACACCTCCCCAGAGAAGGTTAGTTGTGCCTGCCCCAAGCTTCCTAACTCAGGACTTCAGTTTCCTGCAGAGGAGAAATATGACACAGAGCAGGCTTGGTCCCGGCTTTGGCTCTCTGCCTCTCCACGTGCTCGGGGCCTCTCCCAGCCTGGTGCTAAGCAGTGTCATGAGTCCGGACCAGGTTGGAGATTAATTCTTGGGCATGGGGGCGCTTGGGGACTTGGAAGGAGGGGGAGTGGCAGGTCCAAGGTCACCAACAGAGAGGGGCAGCTGCCCATCCTTGACATATCCCTCCTCCTGGTAGTCCAGGACAGAGGTGATCAGGCACCCTGGCTGGAAAAGACAGCCGAGAAGGGGGCCTGGGCACGCCTGGCCTGTGCCAAGCTTTGGCTTTGACTGGGGGCCTCCAGCTTCCCTGGCTCCTCCTCCCAGCCCCTCCCCCCACACACACACTTAATACTTCCGGGACCCAGGCTACCCGCTGTGGAGTTTGGCATTAGCTGTAGCTAGTGTGGGAGCCTGGAAAGACTGGGAGCAAAGTCTCTCAAACGGAGCAAAGTCTCTCAAACGGAGCAAAAGAAGGCGCTTCAGGCACTGTGCTACCTGCTAGCTTTCCCCAGAGGAGGTAAGCAGGGGCCCGGGAGCTGGGTACTCTGGGGGGGCTCTCCTAGGCTCGCACATGTTGATGAGTCCAAGCCGGAAGCTTTTCATGTGCTTCCTCACACACGATCGCCCTTGACCCTCCACAGCTCCCAGCTGAGCCATGGCGGGTGCTGGCCCCACTGGTAGAATAGAAAACAGGTTCAGAGATGCGGTGAGAAGTTTGGGGCCAACAGGACTGAAGTGCTCTTTGCCCTGGACATGTTTCCAAAAATAAGGCCCAGTTTACATGTAGGGAATTCAGATGCCGCTGGCTTAGCAGGAGAGGTGAAAGCCAAGCAGATTCCTCTGCTCCTGTGCCCCGGCCCCGACTCATCCGGCTTTAGGTGAGGTGGCCGCAGATACAGGGTCTGCCTGGATCTTTGCTTTGCTTAGGTGAGCCAGCGTTTGCCAGTTACCTGCCAAGCAGATAATTTCTCAATCTGCTCAGACCAGACTTCTAGCTAGGGAGGAGGTTAGGGGCAAGGGTTTAAGAGCCAGAGTAAACTAGACAAGTTTTCCTGCGCAGCCTCGGCTGCCACCTGCCGGTCTCTTGGGCTCTGGCCATGTGGCTGCCTCTGCTGCTGGGAGTCTTGCTCTGGGCAGTGCTGTGGTCACTCAGGGACCAGCAGAGCCTGCCCGCCAGCGATGCTTTCGTCTTCATCACCGGCTGTGACTCAGGCTTCGGGCGGCTTCTGGCCCTGAGACTGGACCAGAGAGGCTTCCGAGTCCTGGCCGGCTGCCTGACCCCCGCAGGGGCAGAGGACCTAGAGCGGGTGGCCTCCTCCTGCCTCCACACCACCCTGCTGGATGTCACGGATCCCCAGAGTGTCCAGCGGGCAGCCAAGTGGGTGGAAACACATGTTGGGGAAGCAGGTGAGTAGTGCCGGGGCCACTGGGACCATGATGCGGGGTGCTCACTCACAGGGGCAGCGGGAAGCGGGAGGGACTGCGTGGGGAAGAAGCAATGATCGGGAGAGAGCGCGTCGGAATGCCTTACCTACCCTGTGGTATCTGTCTCATCTCTCCACAGGGCTTTTTGGTCTGGTGAATAATGCTGGTGTGGCCGGGATCATTGGGCCCACACCGTGGCTCACACAGAATGATTTCCAGCGGGTGCTGAATGTGAATACACTCGGTCCCATCGGCATCACCCTTGCCCTGCTGCCCCTGCTGCAGCAGGCCCGGGGCCGGGTGGTCAACATCACCAGTGTCCTGGGTCGCCTGGCGGCCAATGGTGGGGGCTACTGTGTCTCCAAGTTTGGCCTGGAGGCCTTCTCTGACAGCCTGAGGTGAGGGGTGCAGAGCCCTGGGCTGCCCTGCAGAGATGACTAAAACCCAGCATGGGGGGATCCTGAAGAGGAGACAGTTTAGGGCTCAACTAACTGTTGCTCCTAGTAGTAGTATTAGTAACTACTACTTGTGATGAGCTAGTACCTTGACAGAACATTTTCTCCTCTGTTTCTCCCAGCAGCCCTCTAAGGGATAGGCATTAATATCCACAGGGTAACATAACTTACCCAAGACCACACAACTAGTTAGTGGAAGCAGTGGGACTTACCCCCAGGTCTGCCTGCCCCTCATCTTTATGTTCTCCTGCCCTTCATATTTAAACAGTAATGTTCAGGGGCGCCTGGGTGGTTCAGTAGGTTAAGCATCTGCCTTTGGCTCAGGTCATGATCCCAGGGTCCTGGGCTCAAGCCCCGTGTCGGGCTCCCTGCTCAGCAGGCAGTCTGTTTCTCCCTCTCCCTCTGCTTCCCACTCATGCTTGCTCTCTCTAGTGCTCACTCTCTCTCTCAAATAAATAAAATCTTTAAAAAAAAAAAAAAAATTGGGGGCGCCTGTCTGCCTTCAGCTCAGGTCATGATCCCAGGGTCCTGGGATCGAGCCCCGCATCAGGCTCCCTGCTCAGCGGGGAGTCTGCTTCTCCCTCTCCCACTCCCCCTGCTTGTGTTCCCTCTCTCTCTGTCAAATAAATAAAATCTTTTTTTTTTTTAAGATTTTATTTATTTATTTGAGACAGAATGAGAGAGAGAGAGCACATGAGAGAGGGGAGGGTCAGAGGGAGAAGCAGACTCCCCGCTGAGCAGGGAGCCCGATGCGGGACTTGATCCCGGGACTCCAGGATCATGACCTGAGCCGAAAGCAGTCGCTTAACCAACTGAGCCACCCAGGCGCCCTAAATAAAATCTTTAAAAAAAAAAAAGAAATTAAAAAAAATTAATAATGTTCAAAGTCCCATGAGAGCACAAAGGACACTCAGCAAGTACCACAGGGGATCAGGGCCTGAATTTTGAGCAGTACACGTGCCCCCAGCCAGCCCACCTTCTATAGGAAGCCTGCCTTCTTCACCATCACTCAGGAAAGAATTTCATATACTTTTGTACCTATCCCTTGGTCCTTTAATTTTCCAATCAGCATCATGGAACACATACTTTATACTTGGATTTCTGCATCTGTGTCAAGGAGGTTAGTTGTGTGTCTGCAGTCTGCCCAGCAAATACCAGTCTACACCCTTCATGTCCAGCACCCAGGACTAAACCCTATGCTGTGGGACCTAGGGAATGGGGTAGTTCTAGGTCAGGAGTTGGCAAACTGGTTCTTAGGCCAAATCTGGCCAATTGCCTACCAGCTAATAATGGTATGTTTACATTTTATTATTTTTTTAAAAGAGTATTTATTTGAGAGAGAGTGCATGCACGTGCATGGGGGGAGGGGCAGAGGGAGGAGAGAGAATCTCAAGCAGATTCCCCACTACCGCAAGGCTCAATCCCATGACCCCAAGATCACCACCCAAGCCAAAATAAGAGTCGAATGCCCAGCCGACTGAGCCACCCAGTCGCCCCTGGTGTTTACATTTTAAATGGTTACATTATAAATGGTTATGTAAGTACCTACCTGACTGATATCATTTATTTTTAGGCCTGTATTGCCAAAAATATTTACTGTCTGGCCCTTTAAGAAGTTTACTCACCCCTGTTCTAGATCTTAGACTACAAAGGAAAACAAACCTCAAAAATACACGGCCCACTTACCCCATCTCAGGACAGCAGGGATCCCCTTTACCTTCAATACCCCGGTTCCCGGCCTGTGATAACTTGCCCATTTTAGCCCCCACACCCAAGTCCCTGAGATCCCTTTCCTATAAAGGCAAGAAGCCAGAAACCTCCCTCTATCCCCATCCAGGCGGGATGTGGCTCATTTTGGGGTCCGAGTCTCCATCGTGGAGCCTGGCTTCTTCCGAACCTCTGTGACAAATCTCAAGTGTTTGGAGGAGACCCTGCAGGAGTGCTGGGCACGGCTACCTCCCGCCACACAGGCCCGCTATGGGGAGGCCTTCCTCACCAAATGTGAGTATCTGGGCCCACACGGGCATCCGAGGGGAAAGGAGAGTGCCAGAAAGGCCTGTCCTACACCAGCCTGCTGGGAGGACGTGAGGGTGAATGGGGTGCCACAGAAGAACACCCAGGCCACATGGAACCTGCCCACTTGCCAAACTGGGGAGGGACTAAGGGTCCCTCTGACCTTTGCTGGGGACCAGCTCCAGAACCCAGAAGACAGGGCCTGGCATGGGCTGGAGTGGGAAGGGACACTGATTACAACCACCTCCTGGGATGCAGACTTGGAAGTGCAGCGGCGCATCATGAACCTGATCTGTGACACGGACCTGACCAAGGTGAGCAGGTGCCTGGAGCATGCCCTGACTGCTCGTTACCCCAGAACCCGTTACAGCCCAGGCTGGGACGCCAAGCTGCTCTGGCTGCCAGCCTCCTACCTGCCAGCCAGCCTGGTGGATGCTGTGCTCACCTGGGTCCTTCCCAAGCCCGCCCAGGCAGTCTGCTGAATCCAGCCTTCTGGCAAGACATTGTTTCTGCCCCCACCCTGGTACTGCCTGATGCCTGGCACAAAATAAGCACTCAATAAATGTGTCTTGTTAAACAAACAACAAAACACTGTAGGTGGGCAGAAATGAAGTTGTCCAGTGGGAGACTGACCCCATTTAAGTGCTACCCCCTAGGCTGACTTAATGCCCAGGGTACCTGGCCTGTTGAGTACCTGCAAAACCACTAGCAACCACTGGGCGCATCGGTGCTCTTTGAAGCTGTACCTGGAATGGCCACCAGAGGGCACTGTTGGACGTTTCCTTTCTTTTCTACTAAGAGTAAAGGTGCAGTTCGGTGTTCAGAGTACAAAGGGCCATAACCTATTTTTCTTGGGAGGGAGGGAAGGTAGTGAAGAGGGGTCAGGACCAGGCTGGGTGGGTTCCATGGGGAAAAAAGGTAATACCCACTTAAATTGTCCCCTCTCTTTATTTATTTTTTTTTTTTAAAGAGTTTGTTTATTTGGGCTAGAGCGCGAGTTGGGGGAGGAGGCAGAGGAAGAGGGAGAAGCAGGTTCCCCACAGAGCAGGGAGCCTGATGTGTGGCTCAATCCCAGGACCCTGAGATGATGACCTGAGCCAAAGGCAGGACATTTAACTGACTGAGCTACCCAGGCGCCCCCTCTTTTTTACAGATTTATTTATTTGAGAGAGACCATGCGAGCGAGGGGAGGGGCAGAGGGAGAGAATCTCACTCCCCACTGAGCGGGGAGCCCGACATGGGGCTTGATCTCATGACCCTGTGATCATGACCTGAGTCAGCCAAGAGTCGGACACTCAACCGATCGAGCCACCCAGGAACCCCTAAATTGTCCTCTTATCTGAGTCAAGAAGGATGGTATTGGCCACAAAGGTGTCATAGCAACTTACCACCACCCTAAAAGGAGCCAGGTCCCCTTTGTTGGGAGGGAGTTGCTAGGCCCTCAGAGGCGGGCAGAACACCAAGGAAGAGATGTCCATGGTAGATTTGGGCTGGCCTCTCCCGGGTAGGGCCTTTGTGGGGAATCCCTTGGACTTTTGCAGGACATGGCTTCATGAACCTTGCAGCACTGTACCTGGCAGTACAGGAATAGGAGACAGGGAGCGCAGTGGGCCCCATCCTCCTCCAGATCCCCACTTCCACTGCAAGCCCCACCAGCGCCTTCAGCAAAACCCGCCTTTCCCAAACACCCCCCCAAAATACGCCTTCCTTCCCAAGGTGCACACAGAACAAGATCCCAGAGGACAGGAACACGGGTGAGGAGAAGGAAAGGCTAAAGTTATCACTCTTCAAGACAAACAGACTATTTTTTTCAGTCTGAAAAAATAATCCGTTTAATTGAAAAACCTGGTGTACTACCCCACTCCCTTAGATGAGGGGGCTGAAGAGACCAGACCCTCTACATCACTTCATAGCCACTTCGGATACTCTTCACGAGGCAGCAGGCAAAGACAATTCCCAGTACCTAAAAGTAAAGATAGAGCGGTGGAGAGGAGTCAGAAAGGCAAAGTATCCCAGGCCCACCCAAGAGACCCCAAACACAACCAGGGCCCCCGTCCCCAGGCCAGGACTTCCGCAGCACCCTCCTCCCACTGCCCCTATTGCCCAGATGCCCCAGAATGAGTCCCAGGGGCGCCGCTCACCTCCACAAAGGCAATGCCCAGGGCTGCTGCGGCCACCACCAGCACATTTCTCCTCAGCCAGCCCCCAATCTTCTCCACACAGCCCTGAAGGGTAGCGGGCACACAAGGCAAGAACATCATCAGAAACTTCCCACCCACCTTCCCTGGTCCCTCTGGCTCTCCCCTACTCTCTGTACCTTTCCCCCCATCCCTAGCACTCCCAGATCCCCTCCCATCCCAGGGCCCCAACCCTCTCCACATCCATCCCTGGTCCCTCTCTCAACCCTTGAAATCTTCCCCAGGTTTCCCAAGTCCCCTGCTATCTCAGCTTCTTCCCTACCTCAGGGTAGATGTTCTTCACTTGGAAAGAAACCCCACAGTCCTTTGTGACATTGATGCAACAGGAGTCAGGGACTTGGCCCTTGGGCACGCTAGGGACGTTCTCCCAGTCCGTGTAGTTAGCTGCCCCACAGCATTTAAACTGCGGGAGAAGAGAAATAGCGAGTAGGTTATTACGTGAACCTCCACCTTCAATGTGAAGGTAAGAATCTTCTTCCCCCACTACCCCTGCTCCCAGCAACCTCACTCACATCTTCCTGCATCTTGTCCAGGGCCGAAGTCGTGCGGTTGTCTTTCCGATAATTCTGCATCTGCTGCCGGAAGTCCTTATTAAATTCTAACATCACCTGGGAAGAGGAAGGAGCATTGTTGAGGTCAAACTTCAGGGCACACACATCCCAGAGCAGCCAGACCTCTGAGGTAGGGCCCTCCCCTGTTCCCCGGCTTACCTTGTCTCTAAACACATAGCCAGCAATGGCTGCGGCCACCTCCACCAGCATGATGAGTGACAGGAAGATGGCAAACTGCGGGCACGGTGGACCGGGGTCAGGTTTGGAGTCTTGGTGAGAGTGGCCTGCCGTGGCCCAACCAGCCTCTAGCTCACTCATAAAGGTTTTCCTCACTTCACCTCGTGAGCCCCCTCCGTGGACACCCTCCCCACAGCCCTGGACCCCCGTGCTGGCCCCACACCCAGCTCACCGTGATCATAAGACAGTAGTTCTCCTTGCAGGCCCCACAGCAGCCCACAAAGGCCACCAGGAAGAGGAAGGCACCGACTGCGATGATGACCACCGGCAACAGGGAGCCAGGCGTGGCCCCCTGGGTGATGGTCTGACTCAGGACCAGCTGGGCCCCTACACCCACAGCGATCAGCCCCACTGCACAGGCCTGTGAGGAGGGCAGGTCGGGGTGAGGCCAGACCCACAACCCGTCAGTCCTCCGTGGTGGAGGGCAGCAGATACACCCAGGACACGGCCGGAGCCCCATCCCAGAGAGGCAGATTCTCACACCTCCAGGAAACTTGACTGCAGGGGAAGAGGATGACCCATACTGGCCCCACAGTTTGATCAAATGCCAAAAGAGAAGTTCCCAGAAAGCCCTGACCCCAGGGCACATACTCCTCACCTAGAGTGGTGCTTCCTATGGGCCTCAAGGGCTCCCAGAACTGCCCTCTCACTGTCTTCCAGAGCCCGCCCCATCCTCATCAGCTGTGACTAGGCTTCCTCAGGCCCACTAGGCCAGGGAGGAGAAGGGAGAAGAAAAAGAGGCAGGAGTGGTGTGCCCCTCCCTGGACAAAGAGCAGCCTCTGAAGCCAGGAGCCCAGGACAGGAGCAAACTGAGGTGGGCAGAGCCCTTCCCCACCCCCAAGCAGCTGAGAGGAGTGATGAGGGATGAGGGACTGGAAAGGAGTGAGGGGTAAGGGAGAGCGGAGGGGAGGGTGGGGAGGAGAGGGAAGCCCCACGGCGATAGCCATCAGGCCGGCCGTTGGCTGGTTGCCCCATTGCCCGGTATCACAAGTGGTTGGGTCACCAGACAGGAAGGGCCAGAAGGGGAGAGGGGGAGGGTGCTGCGCACCCACGCTGTCCGTTCTTGGTCCAAACAAGCCTCAGAGGACCCCGAAAGCTGGAGGGGGTGGGGTGGCCATGCTGTCTTCGGCCTGTTCCTCGGGCTCTCCTCCCGCATCTGGTCTCCAGCTGCCTTCATTCTCGGCCGCTCAAGCCCTCACCACTCCGGATCCAGGTCTCCCCGCACCCTGCCAGCGCGTCCCCATCGTCTCCCTTCCCACTCACGCAGAAGGCCAGCAGCAGAACGTAGAGCAAGAACTTGACACATTTCATTCCTCCTTCCACCGCCATGGCTGCCGGGCCTGGGGCAGAGGGGAGCGCAGGGGGATAAGAACCGGCCGCGGGAGGACCTCGGTTTCCGTGCTCCCTGCCGGCCCTCGAGGCCTTCCCTGCGCTGCCCCCATTCCCGGCCCCTCCCACCCGGAAACCCGCGGTCAGATCCACGTCTCCCAGCCCCCTCTTCTCCCGGGCTGGAGAGGGGTGGGGGCGACCGCCGCGAAGCCCGGACCCGCCCCGCCGCCTCCCGGGCCCGATCCCAGGGCGCCGACCGAAGCCGGAGCCCGACGCCCACCCTCGGCCCGCCAGCCCCCCAGCGGCCAACACCCCTTCCCCACCCAGCCAGCCGCTACAAACGGTCCTCGGCCCAAGCGCGAACCACCGCCCGCCCCAGCCGCCTTCTCCGGAGCTCTGACCTCCCCCAAAACACAAGCGCAGCCGGCCCCCCACCTAACCCCGCCCGGGCCTCCGGAACTTTGCAAAGTTGCAAAGTTGCGAGGGCCTCGGGAGCGCGGCGGATCTTCGGGGACCCGGGGCGGGCCCCAGCGGAGGACGCTGCCCGCGACCTCCCACCCAGACCGAGGCCGCCCGTGCGCCCCGCGGCCTCACCTGGGCTCCCCGAGGCTGTGCGCTCCTCTCCAGCCGCGGTCCAGGGGCTCTCTAGCAGCGCCCCCCCGGCTGCGGCCCCGCCCGCCGCGCGGCCCCGCCCCGGCCTCCAGCCGCAGCCCCCTCCCCCGCCGCCTCCTCCGCCCAGTGGCCGCCTGCCTCCCTCATGTGACGCGGGAACAGCTGCGGCCTGAGTCACCCGGCCGGCGAGGGGAGGGCCGAGCCCCCCGCCCGGCCAGGGCCACGTGGCCCCTACCGGGAAGGCAGCGCCCACCCCCGCGAAGGGAAGGCGCCGAGGGCCGGACCTCGGGGTGCCCGGGGTCCTCCTGGTGCCCCCGGCCCCGGGGCCACCTCGGCCTGGGAGGGCGGGACCCAGCGGCGCCTGATTCCGCCCGGTTCGAGCAAGCGGAGGAAGCGTGTGCGAGCCAAGGTGGGGAAAGCGGCCCGGAGCTACAGTCTGAGCGCCCGCGCCGGGCGGCTGGGCTGAGGCAAGGTGACGAGGTGGTCTTCGAGAGGCCGCCTCCTCCTCGCCCCCGGGCCCACTCCTTTCCTCTGGCTCCCGTCTCCGTTGGAGGCCCCACCCCTATCCCCCAGGCGGCAGAGGGCGCTGTGAGCTCCCGGGGATCGGGAGGGTTCAGAACAAACACTTCCAGAAAGTCCCTGGCCTCACGTCCTGGGAGTCCCCCAACATTCTAGAGTGGGTGTTCCTGTTCCCCTCTCTGTTAGTCCTTCTCCATTTTCTGGGGCTCCGGAGTAGTGGGCTGAGACCCGGAGAAAGCCAGTCAGGGTGCAGTCCCTCCCTCTGGGGGAGTGTGGACAAGGTCTATGCTCCCACCACTCCTGGATCAGCCTCTTACCAGGTGGGGGAGGACACTGAAGCAGGCGTGGGTATATCTTCTGGATTTCCCCATCCCATCCTAGCAGGCAGCACTTCATATCCCAGGGAGCAAAGCCAGGTGAAGGCTGGAAGGGGAGGGGTCAGCCTCAAGCTGCCTCCCTCCTTTGTGTGCCATGGTGGTTCCCAGAAGGAGTTGTGTGAACAGGCCAAGGACAGAAGCGGCCGGCCGTTACTCCGGGCTACCCCAGCCTGGGCCCCACCCCTTAGGTTCTTACGGTCCTGACTTAAGAACCACTTCCTGAGTCTTTGTATGTGTACACAAAGAAGGAAAGAAACTGTAAGAGCAAAAGGAAAGAGCTCTGGGCCGGGCTAAGAACCAGTTTCCAGGATCACAACCTTCCAGCAAGGCACACCAAGCCCATTCTGGACCTTATTCCTACGGATATCACAGTAGGCAGGCAGCAGAAGAGGAGCGGAGATGCTACAAGAAGGGTATTCATCAGTTTCTTTAGCGTGCTGCCCCTAGATGCCAGGCATGTGCTTCGCAGGGGAGATGGGGGGGCGGTGGGGGGACAGCAAGGCAAGGAGACAGTGGCCCTGCCCTTCGCCAGCAGACAGAGCCAAGCCCACATTGTGAACAGACACACAATCCCCTGGTGGAAAGTAGACAGGTGCTGCCTCTGCCCCAGAGGAAAAAGAGCAGATTTCGTATCACAAAGGTGGCTGGTACTTTCTGAGGTGACTCTAGAGAATAAAGAAACAAGCTCTCAGTTCCAGAGACAAGGAAAGAGCCAAGTATTAAAAAAGTAGTTTTCAAAGTCGATGGCAGCCTGGGGTTTGCTAGGTCAAAGTGTTCCGGAAGGATGTGGCAAAAAATGGACGGGAAAGTGGTCTGAAGTCAAGACTGAGAAACTTTAGACACATAACAACCAAGTATAATGCTTGGTCTTTGATTAAATCTTTGTCGGAACAAACGAACTGTGAAAGACATTTTGAGAACAACTGAGAAAATTTTAATATGGACTGAGAATTAGACGTGAGAAAATATAATTTTGTTAGCTATGATGATAGTATGATTAGGTAAGAAAATTACTCTATTTTTTATTTGTTTTTAAGATTTTAGTTATTTATTTGTCAGAGAGAGAGAGCACAAGCAGGGGGAGTGGCAGGCAGAGGGAGAAGCAGGCTCCCCGCGGAGCAGGGAGCCCGATGCGGGACTCGATCCCAGAACCCTGGGATCATGACCTGAGCCGAAGGCAGACGCTTAACCAACTGAGCCACCCAGGCACCCCTACTCTATCTTTTAAAGATGAATACTAGGGACGCCTGGGTGGCTCAGTCGGTTAAGCGTCTGCCTTCGGCTCAGGTCATGATCCCAGGGTCCTGGGATCGAGTCCCGCATCGGGCTCCCTGCTCCGCAGGGAGCCTGCTTCTCCCTCTGCCTCTGTCTCTCTCTCTGTCTCTCATGAATAAATAAATAAAATCTTTAAAAAATAATAAAATAAAATAAAGATGAATACTAAAAAAAAGATGCATACTAAAATTTTTAAGAGTGAAATGTCATATCTGTATTTGCTTTGGAATATTTCACAAAACAATAGATGAAGCAAAAAGCAGAGAGTCTTGGGGCATCTGGGTGGCTCAGTCGGTTAAGTACCTCTTGATTTTGGTTCAGGTCATGATCTGAGTCATTAGAATGAGCCCTGCATCTTGTATCAGGCTGCTGGACTCAGGGCCTGCTTAAGATTCTCTCTCTCCCTCTCCTTTTGTCTCTCCCCAGCTGCTAGTGTGTGTGTGAGCTCCCTCTCCCTAAAATTTAAAAAAAAAAAAAATTTTAAATTAAAAAGCAGAAAGTCTAAGTGATAGGACTATTGAGGACCTAGAAGGCTATGTTGTTTTGTTTTGTTTTTTTTTTCAAGCAAACCCTATGCCCAACGTGGGGCTCAAACCCATGACCCCGGGGCGCCTGGGTGGCTCAGTCGTTAAGCGTCTACCTTCGGCTCAGGGTCCTGATCCCAGGGTCCTGGGATGGAGCCCTGCATTGGGCTTCCTACTCAGCGGGAAGCCTGCTTCTCCCTCTCCCACCCCCCCTGCTTGTGTTCCCTCTCTTGCTGTGTCTCTGTCTAATTAATTAATTAATTAATTAATTAATTAAAAAAAAAAAACCATGACCCCAAGATCAAGAGTCCCATGCTCTACCAACTGAGCCAGCCAGGTACCCCAAGGTTGGGACTGTCCTAAAGGCAGTGGGGTGTGGTGGGGAGTTTTGGAAAGGGTGAGCGATCTTGGGGTAGGGACTACCTTGAAATAAGGAGGGGGTGTGCCTGGCTGGCTCAGCTGGAAGAGCATGTGACTCTTTTTTTTTTTTTTTTAGATTTATTTATTTTAGAGAAAGAGCGAGAGCATGAGTGGGAGGGGCAGAGGAAAAGAGAGAATCTCAAGCAGATTCCACACTGAGCATGGAGCCCAATGCGGAGCTCAATGTCAAGACCCTGAGATCATGACCTGAGCTG